TGCATTGTAATTTTTGGTCAATGACATGAGACAAAGTATATGTGAACTGCTGTATGAAAAGTGAATTTACTCTGTAAATCTTCACCCAAATCCTATCAAAAAAAAAAAAATTACCTGATACCACATATTCTGCCTTGACAAATGATGGCAAAATACCTATTAAGAATAGGGTACGATGCCATTTAAGTTGTATACCTTTAAGTTCCAAGGTTATTCCTCTCTTTGGATTTGTAAAATCAAGCATACCAGCCTTTACTGCACTAATTATTCTTCATACATACTTTATTTGATACTGTCTTTAATCAGTTCAATAAATATTTGTCATCAAGTGCCTAATAAGTGCCAGGCACTAGTGTTTTCCTGGATAAATAAAACACAGTTCCTGATCATGAGGCATTTAATAGCCTAATGCTTTGGCTCTTAACTTTAAGAAAACACACATACAACATTTCATACTCTCAGGAGTCTATTCATTCATAAATCTTCTAGATATCCACAAATCCTAGATTAAGAACTCAATCCAGCCTCCCTCCAAAAAACTAGGCATCTACAGCAAGTACTTAATACAGGATAACCAGGAGTTATAATTAGACAATAAGAGAATTTCAGGGCATACAGAGATATAAATTCTATGGCATCCTTGGCTTATTATGGCATAGAGTGGGAGAAACGGCAAAGTGGGTCTTGTAAAAAGTACACATGCTGTCATTGAGAAATACTTGGCCCTAACAAATAATGCCATTTGGTATCCAATAAAATGTTACACCTTGTATTTCAATCTGCAAGCCAGCTCTTAAAGCTCAGTCACTTAGCTTCTTAGTTAAAAATGAAAGTAAAAGAACAACCATTTTGAAACTATGAGCAGAGAATAGAGAAATACGGCCAGACTTGACTTTCTAAGGATTGGTCAGTTCATTGATTCCCTAAATAGAACTGATGTTACTCATCATGTCCAGCTGTCTCAGAGGGAGAGAAATATGGGGGGGTGGAGCGTGGAGACAAGAACACAAGTTAAGGGCAGCTTTTGTTTTATGTTTACTATTTTATGTTACCTCTGCATCATATCTGACTGCAGCAGAGAATAATGAAAAGGCATTCTCCACAGTAATTCCTCGCTTGATAATGTGTTGACAAAGTTTTTTCAGTCTGTTTTCACAATAAGATGTTGCCAAATCCAAAAGACCTAAAAGTAAAAAGTATGAAAAGTTTTAATCAAGTTTACAGTAATTGTTCATAATTATTAAACATACATATTTCATTTTCCTGAAGTTATATAGATTAAGTCAGCAAAAATTTCTTACTGAGTAATAATTCATAATTTTATTAAATACATTCTCTTTTCTACTCCCTACCTCCCCCACCTCCAAAGCATACTTCTACACAAACTGTACACAATTCCTTCTAGAGTAAAAGGAAGAAACCCAAGAATGGTATTTCCCCCTCTTTCTGTTTCCAAGTTCAAAATAAAATTTTTTTCTCACCAAAACGGTATGTTAAATCCTAATTGGCAAATTCAGTATTAAAAGATTAAAATAAGTCCACAGTAAAAAATAAACTGTGTCCATGTTATTAATCACAATTGTACAATGCTATCTTTGAAGACAGTTATTTTAAATCTTTTTTAAAATACCACATAAAAGCCAATAAAACTAGAACTTTTTAAATTTCAGTACTGTAAGAACTGGACAGATGTCACTTTGAAGACTAAGGTGTGCTTGACCTAAACCATGGTATTTTCAATCACTTCATGTGCATGCAAAAGCTGGTCAATGAATAAGGCAGCTGAAAACAAACAAACAAACAAACACCCCAAGGTATCTGAATTGTGGTGCTGGTGAAGAATACTGAATATACCATGTACTGCCAGAAGAATAAATCTGTTTTCTAAGAAGTACAGCCAGAATTCTCCTTATGAGAGAGGATGCCAAAGCTTCATCTCATTTACTTTGGTCATGTTATCAGGAGGGACCAGTCCCTGGAGAAGAACATCATGCTTGATAAACTACAGGGTCAGGAAAAAAGAGGAAGACCCTCAGTGAGATGGGCTGACACAGTGGCTGCAACAGTGGACTCAAACAAAGCAACAATTGTGAGGATGGCACAGGACTGGGCAGTACTTTGTTCTGTTGTATATAGGGTTGCTATGAATTGGAACCTATTTGACTGGCATAGTGCCTAAGGCATTTGACTTAACCAGAAGGCTGGCAGTTCAAACCCACCAACCACTCCTTGGAAAGAAGACTGGGCAATCTACTTTCGTAGAGATACTGCCTTGGAAACCAAAGGAGGGGTCACTTTGAGTTGGATTCGACTCAAGAGCAGTGAATTTGGGCTTTTTTGGTACAACTGTGAAAACAAGAAGATACATTTTTGGCTTTCTGGCTTGGCCAGCTACTGAGGTACCTATAGCATCTTCCGGTGGCAGATCAACTGCATCTGTGTACAGGTACTGGAGAAAGGCACGATACACGGGGTAAGAAAACTGGTCTATTTCTATCACCTCCTCTGAGTCCTCATTCCAATATGAGTGGAACATGGATCGAAAGTGCTCACACCTAAGGCCGAAAAACAAGTTTCCTGATCAATTTGGTGATATCAGATAAACAAATATTTGAGGTATCCATCCTTAACTACTATAATTAGGCCTGCACAAACCAGGATCATGACTCTTTAGTTAACATCCTAAGAAAATCCCTTGTGCAAGGGCTTTTACATATACTTTCATATTTTTTTAAAATTAATTTCATTTCCTACTGTTGAAAATATACACAGAACATACACAAAGTCCGCAATTTCTACATGTACAATTCAGTGACAATGATTATATTCCTCAAATTGTGTAACTATTTTCACCTACCTTTCTGAATTTTTTCTCCCCCATTAACTGGCCCTAGGCTTCCTATCTACTTTCTGAGTTGCTGTTGTCATTTTAATCCCATAGACATAGTTCTTTAAAAGAGCACAATGCTCAAGGCAGAGACACTCTTTACTAATAAAGCTGAACTACAGTTTCGTTTGAAGATTTCAGGGGATATTTTTGGTTTAACCCTTAAAGATTATCACAGGGCTTTATCCAGCCTCAATTGTTCCAGAAACTCTGAAATCCATGAGAATCTCAAATTCCATTCTGCATTTTCCCCTTTTGATCAGGATTCTTCTACAGACTCTTTGATCAAAATGTTCAGTAATGACAGCTGGGCACCATCTAGTTCTCCTGGTCTCATGGCAAAGGAGGCAGGCGTTCACAGAGACAGTTAGCCAGACATTCCATTTCTTCCTATTCCTGACTCTTCTTCCTCCTTTGGTTGTCTTTCTTTTTTTGAAAGACACTGCCAACTAAATATTAAAGTTACACGTAGAGCTTAAAGGGATCTAGCATTTAACAGTACTACATTTTCCATCTGATAGTTCCCATGTTGTTGTTGTTGTTGTTAGGTGCTGTTGAGTCGTCTTTGACTCATAGTGACCCTTTGCACAGCAGAATGAAACACTGCCGGTCCCGCACCAGCTCTGTGATCCCTGCTATATTTGAGCCGAACACAGCTGCCGCTATATCAATCCATCTCATTGAGGGCCTTCTCCTTTTTCGTTGGCCCTCCACCTTACCAAGCATGACATCCTTCTCTAGGGAATGGTCCCTTCTGATAACATGACCAAAGTAGGTGAGATGAAGTCTGGCCATTCTCACTTCCAAGGAGCTTTCCGGCTGCATTTCCTCCAGGGAATATTTGTCAGTTCTTTTAGCAGTCCACGGTACTTTCAGCATTCCTCACCAGCACCACAACTCAAAAGCATCAATTCTTTTTTGGTCTTCCTTATTCATTGTCCAGCTCTCACATGCATATGAGGCAATTGAAAATATCATAGCTTGTGTCAGGCACACCCTAGTCCTCAAAGAGACATTTTTGCTTCTCAGCACTTGAAAGAGGTCTTTTGCAGCCAACTTGCCCAGTGCTATATGTCGTCTGATGTCCTGACTGCTGCTTCCACTGGCATCAATTGTAGAACTAAGCAATGTCAAGTCTTTGACAACTTCAATCTTTTCTCCATTTACCGTGATGCTGCTTATAGGCCCAGTTGTGAGGATTTTTGTTTTCTTTACACTGAGGTATAATCCATACTGCAGACTGTATTCTTCAATCTTCATCAGTAAATGCCTCAAGTCATCCTCACTTTCAGCAAGCAAAGTTGTGTTTTCAGTGTATAGCAGGTTGTTACCAATTCTCCCTCCAATCTTGATGCCACATTCTTCTTTATAGATATAATTATATATAATATATATATTATAATATATAATCTCGGATTATTTGCCCAGCAAATAGATTGAATAAGTATGGTGAAAGGATACAACCCTGATGCACTCCTTTCTTGATTGTAAACCACGCAGTATCCCCTTATTCTGTTCGAACGACAGGCTCCTGGTCTATGTACAGGTTCCTCACAAGTACAATTAAGTGTTCTAGAATTCCCATTCTTCTCAATGTTATCCATAATTTGTTATGATCCACACAATCAAATGCTTCTGCATAGTCAATAAAACACAAGTAAACATCTTTGTGGTATTCTGTGCTTTGATCCAAGACCCATCTGACATCTGTAATGATATCCCTTGTTCCATGTCCTCTTCTGAGCTTGGACATTTGGAAGTTCTCTCTCAATATACTGCTGCAACCGCTTTTGAATTATCTTCAGTAAGATTTTACTTGCGTCCAATAATAATGATATTGTTCGATAAATTCCACATTCTGTGGGATCACCTTTCTTTGGAATGGGTATAAATATGGATCTCTTCCAGTCAGTTGGCCAGGTGCTGTCTTCCAAATCTCTTGGCATAACCAAGTGAGTGACTCCAGCGAGGCATCTGTTTGTTGAAACATCTCAATCATTATTCTGTCAATTCCTGTAGCCTTGTTGTTCAGCAATTCCTTCAGTGCAGCTTCAACTTCTTCCTTCAATACTATTGGTTCTCGATCATACGCCACCTCCTGAAATTGAAGATTGACCAGTTCTTTTTGGTACAGTGACTCTGTATATTCATTCCATCTTCTTTTGATGCTTCCTGCACCATTCAATATTTTCTCCATAGAATCTTTCAAGATTGCAACTCGAGGCTTAAATTTTTCCCTCAGTTCTTTCAGCTTGAGAAATGCTGAGAGTGTTCTTCCCTTTTGGTTTTGTAGCTCCAAGTCTTTGCACATTTCATTATAGTAGTTGGCTTTGTCTGCTCGAGCTGCTCTTTGAAATCTGTTCAATTATTTTATCTTGTCAGTTCTCCCATTTGCTTTGGCTACTCTCTGCTCAAAGACAAGCTTCAGAGTCTCTTCTGTCATCCATTTTGGTCTTTTCTTTTTTCCTCGTATTTTTAATGACCTCTTGCTTTCTTCATGGATGATGTTCTTGATGTCATCCCACAACTCTTCTGGTTTTCGGTCATTGGTGTTCAGTGCATCAAATCTATTCTTTAGATGGTCTTAAAATTCAGGAGGGATATACTTAAGATCATACTGTGGCTTTCATGGACTTGTTTTAATTGTCTTCAACTTCAAGCTGAACTTGCATATGAGCAGTTGATGGTCTGTTCCACAATCAGCTCCTGGCCTGGTTTTGGCTGAAGATATGAGCTTTTCCATCGCCTCTTGCCACAGATGTATTCAATCTGCTTCCTGTGTATTCCATCTGGTGAAGTCCCTGTGTATTGCTGCTGTTCGTGTTGTTGAAAAAATGTATTTGCAATGAGAAAGTTGGTCTTGCAAAATTCTATCATGCGCTCTCCAGTGTTATCTCTGTCACCAAGGCCCAATTTTCCAACTACTAGTGATTCTTCTTTGTTTCCAACTTTTGCATTCCAGGCACCTGTGATAAGTAACACATCTTGATTGCATGTTTGGTCAATTTCAGACTGCAGAAGTTGATAAAAATCTTCAATTTCCTCATCTTTGGCTTTGGTGGTTGGGGCATAAATTTGAGTAACAGTCGTATTAACTGGTCTTCCTTGTAGACGTATGGATATTATCCTATCACTGATAGCATTATACTTTAGGACAGATCTTGAAATATCCTTCGTGATGATGAATGCCACACCATTCCTCTTCAAATTGTCATTCCCGGCATAGGAGACCATATATGGCTGTCTGATTGAAAATGTCCAAAACCAGTCCACTTCAGTTCACTAATGCCTAGGGTATCAATCTTTATGTGTCCCATTTCATTTTTGACAACTTCCAATTTCCTAGATTCATACTTCGTACATTCCATGTTCCGATTATTAATGGATGTTTGCAGCTGTTTCTCCTTAATTTGAATGTCACGTCAGCAAATGTATGTCTTGAGAGCCTGCTTTATTCATATCAGTAAGGTTGGTTCTACTCTGATGATGCCTGATTTTTCCCAGTCGTATTTTGAGAGACTTCTGACCTAAGTGGCTTGTCCTCCTAGGCTGTATCAGACAGTGTTTCCGGGCTATTCATATAGTTGCCTAGTATTATAACAGACAGTGTTTCTCTGCTATTCATAAGGTTTTCCCTGGCCAATTCTTTTGAGTAGTGGATGGCCTCTTCCTTCTTCCTAGTCTGTCTCAGTCTTCAAGCCACACCAAAACCAGTGCACCACGTGCAACCAAGCTGGCACAACCTCAAGCCACACAGCAACATGCCATCACAGTACGACTAACTGACAGACAAGTTTGTCTCCTTTAGCTGCTCGAAACCCCTCCACCCTCCCCTTACCTGGATCCCTGCCGCTTGCTCACTCTGTCTTGGACACCCTGGCTTTCCTTTCCCTTCCCCTCTGCTTTTCCTGCCACTTGGGGGTTGGGGCCTGGGTTCCCATACAGAGTACATTTTTTAAATTTAGTTGTTTTTTAAAAGATGTTACATAGAAATGCATCTTTCACAATAAAAGTAAATTCACAGCTATAAAATTAGCCATATTACAGGGCAACAGAAGGCAGAGTTGGAGTAACTTCCCAAAGATAACCAAACACCTTGAGAGAGAGAATCACCAGGTGTGCCAACTCAGGACTGTAGTTTTGGGGCACATCATGCTCAACTGGCACAACATACTACATAAAAATCTTATTCTACAACCTACTTTGGTGAGTAGTGACTGGGGTCTTAAAAGCTTTCGAGCAGTCATCTAAGATGCAACTATTTGTCTCCTCTCATCTGAATCAAAGAAGAGTGAAGAAAATCAAAGGCATCTAGAAACAATTAGTCTGAGGATAAAACGGACCATGAGGACCTCAGCCTTCATGGCCCTGAGACCAGAAGAACTAGGTGGTGCCTGACTACCAATGCTAAACACTCAGAAAGGGATCAAAACTGGAGATCCTGGATAGTGTGGGAAGAAAAATGAGGAACAAAATTCAAAAACACAAAAATGACCAGAATTACTAGTTGGATAGAGTTTGTGGAACCCCTGAGACTATGGCCCCGGCTTACCCTTTGGGCCTAGAAATGGACTCACTTCCATGGATTGGCTCTCAATCCAACAGTAGGAAGACCTACATGTACCCACCTACTCTAGGGAGATGCATCCCTTAGATCAATCAGCCATGAGACACCAGAGGGCCAGTATTCACATAGAGGGAAAGCTGGACAGACAGGAAGGCATAGTTAAGAAAGGCCAGGGAGAGTGTAATCACAGGGACTGGAGGGGAGAAGAGTTTGTTAGGGGATGGACATTGGGGTGTGAAATCAAATATGCATGAACTGTTGAATGTAAAACAACTTTGCTTTGTAAATTTGCATCCAAAACACAATAAACTAAAAAAAAAAAAAAAAGAAAGAAAAGTAAATTCAGAAATAAGAGTTCAAAACCTTAGACTATGATTAAAATAATTTAAATGATCCATTTATTTTTTATTTTATATGATCAGCATATTCTTAAAACTTTGAAATATTAACTGAATTACATAAAGCACATTATTGAGCTAACTTTAACCACTAACCTTTTGGCTGGTAGTCAAGCATTTAACCATTTATGTCATCCAGGGCCTCCTAAGAAAATCTAATACTCAGAAATCAGTTTCTCATACAGTGGATTTGTACATGTAAATACAACACAAAAAAGACCTAATTACATTTCCTTGAAATACGTGACTACTCTAGTGACAGCTTTGAGAGTAGGGAAAAGGAAACAGTGCAAAGCCAAGAAACAAAGTAAATCATTGTTTTGAAGATGAATCATAAAAGAAAAAAATGTTATAAAAGCAGGAGTACCTAATTTTTAAAACCGCTTTATGGACATGAATATATTTTCCATCAATTTGAAACTTCAGATCAGCAGTTTCTGGACTATCAAATTCTTGCTTCAGTGACTCTGCAACAGTTAAGAAGTCTTCATGCTCTGCAGATAACAAACACACTATCAACACAGAAAACTGAAAAAGCATAAGAAAATTTAAAAGACTTCAAAAAGATAACTGTTGGCATGGTGGATAATTCCATTATTTTTTTTCCAAGAGAGCCCATGCCTTATTCGACAAATCAAAGTATTGATCAGTACCTTGAGTTTATAAATTATCAAAAAGTTACAATGAAAATATATGGAAAGGCTTAGTATCTTAATACTAACTTAGACATTGTTGTTGTTGTTGTTATGTGCCGTCAAGTCAAACCCGACTCATAGCGACCCCTCCTTGGGTTTCCGAGGCAGTATCACTATGGAAGTAGGATTGCCCAACCTTCCTTCCAAGGAGTGGCTGGTGGGTTTGAACTGCCAGCCGTCTGGTTAGCAGGCAAGTGTCTTAGCCATTATGCTACCAGAGCTCCTCTTAGACATTAGACATGGGTATTTAAAAAAAAAAAAAAAAAGGAAAAGTTATATGTAATCCATGATGCTATAACTGCTCTCTCAAAATCTGAGTGGTTGCCTGTAGGACTAGGAATTAATACATTTTCCTTGACTAAACACAGAGAACATCTTTGTTCTGATTTGAGGCAGTTTCAAAATCGGTATAGTCAACTCAGAATCCGAAGAAACAAACTTATCACTTAAGTAGTAACGCTAAACAGGCACACTCTTAAGTAGAGAAACCCTTTTTCGCAAGGATCTGGGATCTAAACATCTCTCTTAACCATAAAAGTCAACATACACACAATTCTTACATACTATCTAAAAACAGGGCAAATTTACTTGGTTACAATGTGTGCTCAAAGGAACAGTTTTAGAAAAACAGGTGATCACATTAGCTAATAAAAAGAATGCTGTTATAATTACATGTAAGGACAATTGGGTTATTACACAGAAAAGAAAAGGTACTTGTACAAATTCATAGGATACTTTCTTGTGCTTTATATGTATGAAAGAAGGAGATAAGCAGAAGATGGCATATGGGAAATTTTCAAAATTCCAGAAATCCTCATTGGACACTAAGCAAAGTTGCTACAGACACAGGAAATAGGTTTTGACTGCCCACAAGATAAGAATGGCAGCTTAATCAAAGAACTAAGCTGTTCAAGTCTAGGTCTCGTATCTCTCCATATCCTGCTGTTACCAAAGTAGCTTTTAGAAAAGGGCAACTGCTAACATCTGGGTGTAAGCTTAACAAGTGAGCTTATCCAAGAGCTTTATTATCAAAATCTCCCAAGGACATGCCATTTGCCCAAGCTCCACTACCTTAACTTACAGCCTTTGCCCAACCCTCACACAAGCCAGAGCTCTCTTATGGAGGAGAGGCAGAAAACCTCTCAAAAATCAGGCTTTCTCTGACCCCGAAGCTTGGACCACCAATGAATAAAAGAAGGAAATGACTAAGATGGAGAATTGGGGAAAGAGTCCAGGAGTCTTGATTGCTAACCCACCCATGCCAAAGCAGCTCTCACCAGTGTCAACTTCCATATTTAGTTGTACTAAACTCTTTCTCTCTCTGTATTTCTAACAAGTATAGTACCTCCTTTTAGAGAAGAAATATTCTTCGGGAGTGTGAATTCAACATATGATTTTCTTCCTAACACTCAGCTGAGGTCATAAACTGAGAGAGGGGGAAAAAAAAATCAAAAAACACTTCTGACTTGATAGGTACAAGGGAAAAAAGTTATCCAGGAGATATACTCAGTAACCATATTTTTCCAGATTTTACATCAAAAAACGTTAGGGTATTTGTTCTGAAAAGGATGCCATTTTAGTTCATAGGAACCTCAGAAAGTCCCTTACAGACAGGTGGCATCTGAATTCTGAAGACATGCGTCTTCAGGGACACATGTGTGATCACAACCACATCGTGTAGCCCCCACTCGGCAACTACATTTTTTTAGTCACAATATTTATGACACACAGACACAGAGACATATTATCATTAAAGAACCTGGTAAAAATGAATCTTAGGGAAATGTTCGACCTGTTTCACTTTAAGCTGAGGAGCAGCTCCACTCTTCCTAAACATGCCTGGGCCTCCATGCTCATATGGACCGATCATTTGATGATGGGACAACTCTAGCCATCTGACACACACAAAAAAACAAAACAAAACTCACTGCCATTGTGTCAATTCCAACCCATAGCTGGGTTTCTGAGGTGGGAAATCTTTATGGAAGTAGATTTCCCCATCTTTCTTCCACAGAGTAGCTGGTGGGTTTGAACCTCCAACTTTCTGGTTAGCAGTCAAACGTCTTAGGCACTGTGCCACCAGAGTGCCTTCTGACACAAAAGAACACCACATATATTGAGAGATGACCTATCAATACCAACCCATCAATATCAAATGCTGAGAAACCCAAACACTTTGGCTGTCAAGAAC